TGGCACACAGGAGGTGAAACATGGCAGGAGCTACCACCCGCCATCACCCCTCAGGCCTCCCCAGCAGTGGGGGGCGGGGGAGGGTGACCTGCCATCCCCAACCACCCAGCTGTCACAGAGGCGGGACAGCCCCGGGCTGTCGGGCTGTCAGCAGACTCTCCAGTTCTCAGAGGGCTCCGTTCCACATCACAGCCGATTAGTTACAAATAGCTTCCTCTCCTCCTGTATCACTTACGCAGCAGAGAGAAAGGGGCGATTGTTCCCGAGGAGGGAGGTCTCCCTGGCCCCTCCCACCAGGGCAGCCCGGAGAGACGCAATCGAGAGGAGGGTCTGGGAGGAGGAGGGGGCACAATGGCAGGAAACGAGGATGTGGAGGGTCCCCGCAGGTGGGAAGGACCAGCTGAGTGTCCACTCCCCGCGGGCAGCCAGCAGGCCGGGAACCAAGGGTCCTGAGCTGTGGGGGCAGGCAGGAAAGGCAGGATGGCCCCAGCTCACGAGCCTGATTACCTGACAGCAGCTTGCCAAGTAGCCCCCAGTGGGGAGGACCAGTAGCAGGAGCTCAGCAGGTGCCCGGCCTCTGGATTTCTCGGGGGCTTTGGGTACCGCTGGAATCTGAACAAATGCCCTCCCTCAAAACAGCCACGACAGGCTGGCCTTCCAGCCCCTCTGGTTTCAATACCGCCCAGGCCAGAGCCTGGAAGAGCCTGGAAGGAAGCTCGGTGTCAGGGACGCTGCTGGGCACGAGGTGCTGGCTATGGCCCCAGGGCCCCCTTGGCCCCCGATGGTCCTTGACTTTGCTGCCACCGCTAAGTTAGATCCCTCCGTTAAAGCCCAGGGACAAGAACGTACAGAGCACCCCTTTGTCGTTCCTCGTAGCACAGCTGAGACCAGCTGGCATTTTCACAAAGGGCTTTACTAAATACTAAGGGAGAACAAAAGGGAAATAATTACAGAAAACACGAAAAACCCAGTCCTGGCTGCCAAGTTCCCAAATGCCTGGAACGAGGCTGCGGCACCTCGCCTGGTTTTCCTTGTTCACAGCCCTCGTGGCGGGTGCCATCTCGTTTCCAGCCCCTGGGAACCACTTGGTCGCCCCGTGGCTTCTGCTCTATCTCCCTTCCAACTGGGCCCCACCCTGGGCCTCCCATGGCGTCTGGTCTCTGGGCCAGGGCATGAGCCTTGTCCCCTGGGGGCTGGTGGGGCTGTGGTGACCAGCCCAGGGCATGATTACACAGTAACACAAGGTTGTCCTCCCATGCTCTTGCCCCACCAGAGAGGACCACCCAGGTTGTCTTGAGTATGGGGTCTAGGAAGGCTACTTCTGGAGGTGGAAGGACATTTGGGGGAGGATTAGGCAGACTTGGGACATTTTTCCTGTGTGGAGAGGAGAAAGTGCTCTGAGGACTGGCCCAGCTTCACAAACACTAAGTAAGCCCCTACTGTGTGCCAGGACTACACAAGGTAGTGGGGATGCAAAGGTAAACAAGTGTCTGCCCTCTCAGATCTTACAGTCTGCAGGAAGCTAGACAAGCAGCTGGGTAGTGATGAGACTGGGGGCCAGGTCATGATGAAGGCAATTCAAGGTGCTGTGAGAACCTGGATGAGGGACATCTCACCCCGTGGTGGTGGCCCCTGGAGCCGGCCTGGATGGAGTACATGAAGAGATGGAGAGGGGCTCAGGGTTGAGGTTGGGCGGGGCCCAGGAGGCAGGTGGAGAAGACAGTGGAGGCCAGCCAAGCATCTTCTTGCCAGTGACTTTGGGTAGCAGGTGGCTATAGCGCGTCTAGCCTATGAAGTGGAAAGGCTGTCAGCCCCTGCTGCCCACTGCTGCTCTCCCTGGCAGCCAGGAAGGGGGAGAGTCTAGCCCTTGGATACTCTACTTCCCACCCACCTATTGACATATTCAGGGACAGGGTCACCTTAGGCACTGCTCTAGCACGAGATGCCAAATCGTTGTCAAGAGAGAAGGCAAAGTCATAGTTGGAAAATAGTTTAGAAGGCCTTGGCTGGGTAGCTTAGTTGGTTACAGCATGTCTCATACACCAAAATGTTGCAAGTTCAATTCCCAGTCAGGGCATATACCTAGGTTGCAAGTTCAAACCCTGGTTGGGGCACACACGGGAAGCAGCCAATCAATGTTTCTCTCTTACGTAGATATTTCTCTCTGTATTCTCTCCTCTCCCCCCTTCCTCTTCCCTTCCCTTCCCTTCCCTTCTCTAGTTAAGCGACTATGGGCAAATTACTTACACTTCCTGTGCCTCCATTTTCCCCATCGTCAAAATGGGAATAATTAAAACCTACTTCATATGTTTGTTGGGAGAACTCATTGACTTGAGGTGTTTACAGCACCAGGCACACTGTTTACCACATAATAAGTGCTCAATAAATATTCGTTATTTATTTATATAAAATATAAAACAAATGATTATGATGATAAATAGTTAAATGCTGAGTTCTGAACAGATTTGGCCAGTAGATCTACTCAGCACCTGAATCTACTCAAAAGCTTTGGTGACGGCTGAGGACTGATCGCCTGGATGGTGATGGTGAGAATTTGTGTGTGCGAGTGTGTGTGCACGCACCTGCAAATCCCCCAGCCTTTTGCTCCTCTGCAGTTGGCAGAAGCATGAGGTTATTTTCTGTTTCATTCCATGATGACGACTCTGCTCTGTAACTATCGTGTTTTTGGATCTCTAATTAGCATCAAAAGTTTATTAGAAATCATGCCTAACACGACCATTTCCTGCGCCCCAGGTGCTTTAGCGGCCCTCACCTATGAGGTAAGTACTATTATTATTCCCGCTTTAGACGGAGACAGCGGGGCTCTGAGAAGGAAAGGAAGTTCCTTGAGGTTACAGGGCTGGCAAGGACTGGAACCACCTGCATACGGGCCCCGGACTGGATGTGAGCAAGAGGAAACTTCTGTTGAACCCATGGACACTTGGGGGTCTTTTGGGTTCTACCACCTACCCTACCGAAGGCATCTCAAGCCCAAGAAGCCATGTTTAGAAGGGTATGGTTCTCAGTTTAGTGACAAAAAACACTGACACACACTTGGGGGAAATGCAGACATTGCCCAGACACTCCAGAGTGTAAAAGAGAGCTGTGGCCTTCCCAGACACCGGTACCCGCCACCTCTCATGAACGTAAACTTCCAGGGAACCTCCATACTACATGCCCAGCACCTGGAACGGTGCCTGGAGCATACTAGGGCTGAAGCAATAGCTGTCAATTGAAAAAATGAATGAATCAGTACAAACACACAAATATACAAATATACACAGCCCTATACATACACAGTTATAGGCAAATATGCCCTATAAACAAATGCCCAAAACACTCAGTTATACACAAACATGTACAATAGATACTTCAATACCCAAATTCAAATTGAAAATAAAGACACATGTGAACACATGCATCTGTATGCACAAATATTATGGGCATACACATATGGTCCAAATATGCACAAATACATATCTACTCATCTCCATTCACATATACAGTGATTCTCAGACACCCTCCACCATGACCCCAGGCCAAGAAAGGAGTCTGTCTGCTCCATGAGCTCTAGCGTGTTGGAACTTGTCAGAAAGTTCCTTACAGCCCCCGCTTAGCTGATAGGTAACTGGCCCCTGGCTTCTGGACCTTCGGGCTTGGGGTTGGCTAAGCAAGGAGACAGCATCTCTAACAGCCTCTCGTGGGTGGGCAGGCAGCGGACGCAGAGGTCACTGGGGTGAAAGCTGGGGCTGCCCTGGCCTTTTTGCTTCTGGCTGGAATGTAGGGGCCGCCTCCCTGGCTTCCCTCCTTTCCCACAGCCATCCACAAGCTCCAGGCCTGGGCCAACCCATGACCCCAAATTCTGCCAGGTGCTTGCAGCCAGGGAGCTGTGCACGGAGGGTGGTGGTGATGAACAAGTGAGGACCATGCAAGGGCACACTCAGATGCACAGAGATGCACAATCACACACAGAAGGCGGTGCAAACATTCACACACGGAGCAAGACACACGAAGACAAAGGAAGGCATGCAAATTCACAATCCCACTGAAATGCACAGACACCCTCCCACACACACCTAGGGACACAGCGGACACATACACACACACAATCACAGAGCTACCAAGGGACCAGATCCACACATAAGTGACAGTTGTACATACAGCAGACACACGCAGACCACACAGAGACTCATAGCACAGGTGGGTCCTCACAGTCACACTTACATGCCCCCACACACATGCACAGACACGTGCACACACAAACCCACTAGACCCCTGTGGGCAGACCCCTGCCAGTGGAAGCATTTCCTCCTCCTGGGACCAGGAGGAAAGGCCACGCTGGGCCACACTCCACTCTGCCTGTGGTGGGCCCGCAGGGAGGGCCTGAGAACACTGCTTCCCACAGGGGAACCGGCTGCACGGGGCAGAGAGGCAGCTCTGGAGTCAGCTGGCTTGGGGTTTGTCTGTCAGTGACACACACGCCCACTCCTCGAGCGCATATGTATGCACCATATATACACGCAGGGACACTCTTTCACGCCTGAGGATTGTGGCGACGGCATAGGGTGGCCCTGGAAATAAAGGGCCAGACCAAGTTGCCGCCTTCCTAGAGGTAAGACGCTGCAAACGCGGGGCTCCGACCACAGGCTCGATGCCCCGACGCAAAGCAGCCAGCCTAGAAGCGCGGGCGTTCCGCTGGCAGCACGGGGTCCTGGCGCCGCGGGCACCAGGCTCCGCCGGCCCCGGGGTAAACTGCGGGCTGGGCTCCGGGGGAGCGCGAGGGTCCGCGTGCGGAGCCCCTTCCACGCACTGCGCTGCGGGACGAGCGAGCGCGCTCAGCCCCGCGCCGCCCCGCCGCTGGTCCGGCGGGGCTCGGGGCTCGGGGCTCGGCCGCTCCCAGAGAGCCTCGTCCGCGGTGGGCGGGGCGGCCTGGAGCCCCGCCCCGTTCACAGCTCCCGAAACCCCGTCGCCGACCAGCTCCAGTCCCTTAAGAGCTGCTGTCTGAGCAGGAAGCCGCATCTTCACGGGCCCGCGGGGAGCCTGGGGTCGCGCGGAGCGCCCGACGAGCCTTCCCCGGCGGCCGCCTGCCCACCCCGCCGGGCGCTTCGAATCAGGTCCCCCAGCCACGACTTACCTGCGGGCCCCCAGAGGATGCTCGGGCCGCTAGCCCGCTAGCGGGGACCTCGGGGCAGTCGCGAGGAGGGCATCCAGCCCCCGACTCAGCTCCGCCGCTCCCGTCCCAGGGGCGCCCCCGGCGGGGTGAGCATGGTGATTTCCCTTCGGAGCCCCCTGCCTCGGGACGTCTGAGAAGATGCCTACCATGAGGCTGCTCACTTGCTTCCTGCAGCTCGTGGCAGGGCTGGCGCTGCCTGCGGTGTCTCCCCAGGTAAGACCCACCCCCTCATCCCAGCCTGGCTCCCCTCATCTCCTCCACCCCAGCATTCAAACCCCGGGGGCCCCGAAACCACAGACGCACTCCCTAGAGCGGCACCTCCAAGGATGTCCCCACATTTCCCAGGAGTCGGGCTGGACCACGTTGTCTGGGAGGAGACCTCAGGCCGGGCTGACCCAGACTTCGGCTCTGGGGTCTGTCGTGGTGGGGGCAGGGAAGCCACAGGCACGGGAGGGAGGTTTCCTGTCTGGCCCCTGGAGCCACCGTGGCTTTGCTAAAAGCATCTCTCCACTAATCCCAGGCTGGTCCCTGACCTTGTGGTCAGGGTCGAGGCCTGTGACCAGGCAGGCGCCCCTAGGACCTCTGACCTGGTCTGGTGGAGGGGGAAGCCAGCAGAAGAAGCCATGGGTGGGGAGGCTGGAGCCTGCCCCGGGGCTGAGCGCAGGGCTCCAGGGAGGGCCCGGGGCCAGACAAGAGGTCCTGCTGTACCGGCTCTCCCGGGTGGGCAGCCGGAGGTCCCACGTGCAGGGCCTGGGGAAGTGAGCAGGGCCCTTTTCCCAGGAGCCGGGGGAGTCTGGCCAGGAGCCAGCTTGGGCAGTGAAATCCTGACAAAGCCAATGGGCTGCCTTCCCACTGCGCTATCCCACTGCCCTGGGCGTCTTCAGCCCCAGCCCAGGAGTGGGTGGGCTAGGCAGACCCTGGGGCAGAAAAGCCCCACCAGCAGCCACCCGCTGCTGCAGGGCTGGCCAGAGGTGTAACGTTACCCGCACACCAGCTCCTGGCGCCACCCGCTCCAGCCCCTCCACTCCCACCAGCTGATCACCTCTCCTAGGCTCTGGCACCCAGCCAACGCAGGCTGCATAGGGCCCAGCAGGGTGGCCAGGGGGCTGGGGAGGAGGAAGACCCCGAAGGATTGCAAGATCTTCCAGACACAGAAAGCAAAGTACTCCAAAAGCCTCCAGACTCCCACCCTTTCCAAATGAGGAAACTGAGGCCAGAGTGAGGGCTGGGACCCACCCCGGGTCCAGTGAGGTTTTAGTTGGACATGGAAAGAGACAGCTCGGAGTCAGGGCAGAGAGTGTGCAGTGGGTGGGAAGCAGCTCGGATGGCCCGCTATGCTCTTGCCAATACACTCGGCCTCAGAGCACACGGCCCGTGATGGTCCCCCTCACTTCTGCACTTTTCTGTCCGCAGCCGCCGGCTCTGTCTGCTGGGAACAACTCGTCACAGACGAAAGGTAAGCAAGCTGGGCTGGCGTGTGCGCTCACCAAGCCCTCTCCGTTCACGCCTCTGCAGAGGGTGGGAAGGGACTGGCCTGAAAGGTGGGTGCAGGATGATATTAAGTTGGGGAAAGTCGGCAAGCTGGCTGATGCCCTGGCTGACAAAGTTGGCAGAGTTTGAGAAACCCCCCATTATGACCCAGAGGTCTAGAGAGGTGTATTCCTGGGCCGGGGTCACCCAGAGAGCATAGCTGGGGCCAGTAACCCAGGGTTGGTCTAGTTGGTTCAGAGTCCCTTCCCAGCATGATGTCGGGGGGCAGATGAGGTCTTGGAGGGCAGTGTGGGCAGTGAGTGTGCCAGGGGCTAGACTGGTGGTCTGGGAGCTGGGTACAGTGGGCAAACCATCAAGAGAATCAGGAGGGGAGAAGGGACCTTCCCAGCAGCCAGCCCTTCCCAGCAGCCAGGCCTTTTCATTGATTACAAACAGACAGAACATGAGTCGCGCCCTCCCTGGCCCCTCCACTCTCCACCCAGGGTTGCATCAAGAGGGAATCTTCAAAGGGCTAGATGGTTGCCAAAGAGACATACGTGCAGAAGGCAGGACGCTCATGCCAGGCCCCCTGCCTTGCTCCTCCCTGCCTGCCTCTCCAAGACGTGCAGTCAGGCCACACACCGTTCCTGAGGCTTCCCACGGCTCAGTGGAAGTGGGAGTGTGCCGGGACGTGCACACACACATGCATGATGGCCAATTGGGGCTGGGAACACCCTCTCTCTGCTGGCCTGCCTGCCTGGTAGTCATCTTCTCCTGGGCCTGGCCACGCTCTCATGCCTGAATCCCAGGTCCTGAGAAGGTGGGGGAGGCAGCAGCTCTTGACTTCATTGATCCTCCCTCTCCCCTTGCTGTGCCCTCTGAGGCTAGCACAATATAATGCTCTCTTAGATTCGGGGAGGGACCCATCACCATCTCCACCCCATATCCTCTTTGATGCTTTTAGCGTATTTCAGGCAACAGCTACTGAAGAAGCCTGGGCCTCAGTTCCCTCATCCGTAAATGGGAGCAGTAGACTACATACTAGCTAAGGTTTTTCCTAAGTTTGTAGGATTCGCTGACTCCATGGTGGGGACACAGGAGTATATATTTTCCAGGGACGAGGGTGAGGAGGCTTGGAAGTGTCTATCTAGGAGGGCAGCTAACCTGCCATTCTCACCAGTCAGGGAGCCTGTATTGTGGCCATGGGCCGTCCCATGAGCTTTGGACCCCAGTTATCAAAATCTGCCAATGCCATCCCCTCCTGCTAAGCCCAGACAAGAGACAGCATGGCCTGTACTTTGCAGCTGTGGATGCTGGTTTTCACTGCCACTGTCGTGTAACAGTGTCGGGCATTTACTATACTTCTGTGCGGAGCACGGGCTGTGAACTAGGAAGGCACTTGTATTCTCCCGGTTTTATGGACGGAGACTCTGAGGCTCACAGAGGCCCTTGGAGTTGCCTTAAGCCGTGGACACGCCTCGGTATCCACGGCTCACGGCTGAGCAGGCATGAGCAGCGTGTCCCTCGCAGCAGGCTGGCTGTGCACCCCACCCGTGACTATGGAGAGGACACCTGCCGGGCCTGGGCTGTGGCCAGCAGCTCTGCCCAGCCCTGTGGCCTCCCGGGGGCTCCCCAGGAGCTTGCTGTCGGGATCAGGCACGTCCCTTCTTGAGTCTCCTCCGTCCCGGGGGGTAGGCAGCTGGAACCACATAGGAGGCTCACCCACAGGGCTGTCGAGAACCCACTCGTGGCCCTGGGAGCAGCCTTTGCTGCATGGCCTCGCCCTGGCCCGGCACTTCACTGGGCTACAGCCTCCCACTCCTCCCACCCGACCCCTGAGGCAGTGCTCTCAGGAGCAGCTGAGCAGACCTCCTTCCTGAGGGCCTCAGCCCACAGCTGGGAGTGGTCAGGCCTTTCTCAACTGGCCCTTACCCAGCCGGCGCCTTTGTTTCCCCCACACACCCGTGCAGCGGCCTCCGGGAACGGATTGCCCTCTTTCCTGGTGGCTGCCAGGTACAGCAGGCCCGGCTCACCCCCCTCAGCCTTGCCACGTGGTCCAGAAAGTGGCGGGTTTCAGGGCCCTGGAGCCTGGGCCCCGTCGATGCAGTCTGTGTGGGGGGGTGTGGGGGTGAGGAAAGGAAATCCCTTCTTTTGCCGCCAGGGCTCAGCTGGCTCTGCTTAACCTGGCTGTGGCCCCAACAGCCCAGCTGGATGGGAATCTGTTTGCAGACTGGTAGGGGGCTGGGATACCCCTTCTCTGCTGCTGTCCCCTCCCGAGTGGCTGCTCCCAGGGGAGGATCCTGAGCCTCCACGGCACTGTCAGCTGGCTGTTCTCTGCTTTTATTTATGTTTTCCACGGTAGAGATTAAACGTCCAGAGTTACATAGCCTCATGGAGAGTTTAGACTAAACAGGCGTTCACGGAGCTGTGATGGGGAGGTGCCCCTCTGACCTTGCACTGCAGAGGCTGGCTTCCCTGGGGCTTCGGGCTGCTTGTGGGAAGAGGGGCTTGTTTCCCACTTGGGGGTGCAGGGAGAGTGTCCCAGTGGCCTGGGAGGCAGGATCAGGGGAGGCACCGGTCCTCCTCCCATGCCCGGGCCCAGCCCCAGTGCCCCCTAAGCACACAAAGCAGAGTGGAGCAGCAGACGCCCAGATAAGCATGGTTTTTATTGCCTCTGGCCTCCTCGGCCGGCTCCACGTGGACACGCCGCCTCTTGGGTGTTTTCCACCAGCTTGTAGCCTTTCCCCAGGGCCTCTGCGAGGCTGAAGTTTATTTTTCCTCTGAGATTACCCTGAGACTCCCATCCTCATAGGCTCCATGGGATGGACTTTGGCCCCTTCTGCCTCCTAGAAAGGAGGTGAGGGGGCTGCTGGGAGAACCATGATGGCTGCTGGCTGACCCAGATCCTGTGCCCTCTGCCACCAGCTGAGGACAACCATCATGTGTAGGGCAAGATGACCCAGGGCTGGAGATGTGTATCTGCCCACGGTCTCAAGGCTGGACTGGGTTGTGTGCCCAGAATCACAGACTGTCTGTCAGAGCTGGGAGAGCCCTTAGCAACCATCTATTCCCAACCTGCTTCTCTTTCCCCAGCTGAGGAAACTGATATCCCAGAAAGGTTAAGTGACCTCCCCAAGGTCACACAGTCAGTGGAGGGCCGGGACTGGAAGCGAGGTTTCCTGCTTCTGGTTACTCACGTCCTGTGAGCCTCTCTTTGGGACCAGGCCCCAGGCCTTCCCCTGAAGGAGTAGCATATTTTGAGAGATTCCAGATCAGCCCCCAAAAGCTCTTGCTCATGACCACAGGACATCGTGGGGGTCAGGGGCCAGGGCTGGGGATGGGCGATGTCCCCGATATTCTTCAGTGAACAGTCATCTGATCAATAAGTCATTATTTAGCCTGTGTTTACTGGGTGCTTGGGTCCCTGTCCTCACAGAGCCTCGACTTGCTTGTAAAGGAGATAAGAGCCCCAGTGATCGAGATAAGGCCAGCCCTTGGGGCCTAGTTATACTCAAAGGAGGAGCATCTGTTCGTACTAGAAAAGCTGGAGAAAGCTTTGGAGAGGCGGGGAGGTGGGCCTGGAGAAATGGGTGGCGAGCTGCATTTGGTTAGAAATGAGAAGTGGGGGAGGAACGTAGCCCAAAGGTGGGAATGACGGTGACGTGGCCCAGTTTGGTTCCAGGGCTGGTCCAGGTAAAATGAGTGGGGATGAGCACGGCGCTGGCTGCAGGCTTGGCTGCCTGGCTAAGGAGCCGGCCCAGCGTGGGGCAGGAAATAAAGACGAGGGCGCACTCTGCAAGCCAGTCTCACAGAATGCGCAGAAATGTTTTCTGCAACGTCCCGAGGACCGAGGAGGCGCCAGCGCAGGCCTGAGAAAGACCCAGCGGGCCTGGGGGCAGCCGGGCACGCTCCTTGGAGCTCCAGGGACCCCAAGCCAGGTGTGGGTGCCGCACTGAGAACACAGGGGAGAGCTCGGGACACTGGGAAATTCTGCCAGGCCAGCTAAAGGTCCAGCAGTCTTCCCAGAGGGGTGGCATCAGTTCAGAGCAGAGGAGGCTCAGATAGGCTGAGGGCTTCCTGGAGGAGGAGGCTCTGCCAGGCTAAGGAGCCAGGACGGGGGGCATCCAGGAGCAGCCTCTCCTGACCTGACCTGACCAGCTGACTGTGCCCTCTTGCAGTGATGCCCTTCCAGGTAGTGTGGGGCCGCAGCTACTGCCGGGCAATGGAGAAGCTGGTGGATGTCTTGTCGGAGTACCCCCAGGAGACGCAGTACATGTTCAGCCCCTCCTGTGTCCCCTTGCTGCGCTGCACGGGCTGCTGTGGGGATGAGGCCCTGCACTGTGTGCCGGTGGAGACGACCAACATCACCATGCAGGTAGGGAGGGCCTCCTCACGTCCGGCCTGCCCCCTTGTCCACACCCTGCTCAGAGGTTCTCAGCACCGACTACCAGAAGGACCTGGAGAGGGAAGGAGGGCAGCCCGAGGTCACAGGACTGCAACTGACTCTCAGGCCCTTTCCACCCAGCACACTGCCCCGCCTTTTGGAGCCTGCATCCCGACTTTGGGCCCACTTTTCCCTCCCTTACCAGCTCTCCCAGGCTCCAGCTTAGCCCCACTCCAGGTCCGAGGATACCTGGTAGGGGATGGAAAAGATTTGAATCTGCTCAGACTCAAGAAATCCCTGTTTATACCAGGAGTACTTGGTGCCCTGAACCTTACACACACACACACACACACACACACACACACACACACACACACGTGCACGCACACACAACACAATGGTTCGTATCACACTTACTGAGTAATGCCAAGCCCTGTGCTAGGCACTTCACTACCTCACCATTCAGCCTTCAAGGCAAGTCTCACTCCCATTTCACAGATGAGAAACGTGAGGTTCGGGGATGTTACTTCCCTTGCTCAGCAGGGAGAAGAGCCACGCTTCCAACCTGTGTCTCTGACTCCAGAGCATGGGCCCCCCTGCTACGCTGTTGCTATGCTGGTGGCCGTGGAAGGGCCTCCCTCAGATCCACATGCTGATGGGAGAGCTGTGTGCCCCACTCCTCAAAGCAGAATGAGGGCATGTCGTCCAAAGGGTGGGGTGGGGGGGGGGGACATGGAGTCTGGTCCTCCCCCCAAGGAGGGTGTGGGAAATGTTGGAAACCCACGGCCACCCCCCAGCCCAGGCACCAACCTTTCTCTCCCGCAGATCCTGAGGATCAGCTCCGAGCATCGGTCCTCCTACGTGGAGATGACATTCTCCCAGCACACACACTGCACGTGCAGGTAGGTGCTCAGGGAGGGGCAGGGACAGGTCCCGTGCGCGGGGCAGCCTGAGCCGAACGGCCGCCATCCCTGCTGCAGGCCACTCTTCCTGGCCGAGGGAGGCCGGCCAGGGGAAGCAGGGACCAGAGGCAGCTGTGTTTTGTCCCCGCATCAGCCAGTGTTTGCCCGAGGAGGTGGTCCCAGGAGTTGGAGCACAGCCGCCAAGAAGGCACAAGGGGGAAGGAAGCCTGAGTCCCTCCCAGACTTTCAGGGGCTCAGGGCCCACCATCCCCTCCCTGAGTTGGGAGGCAGTTGCCACAGCCCTGGAAGAGACACTGAGGCAAGGACATTTCAAGCCTGGGCTTAGTTCTGGGCCAGGCTGGTGCCTGTGGAAGGGGACAGTTGGGCAGAGGAGCACAGGGAAGGACAAGCTATGGCAGGAGGAAAGGGGCAGAAGGAAGAAGGCATTGGGGTTTCTGTACAATCGCACCCCCACCCAGCAGAGCCTCTGACCAGCCCGTTCCCAGGGCATCTGAGCATTCGTTTCCAGGAGAAGCAGGCCCAGCACTGCCAACCGGCCTAGGGAAGAGAGAAGCCACTGAGGTGCGGTCCTGGTGGCCCTGGGCTATGGGTGGAGGCTCCAGACCAGAGGTCCTGAGACCTATTCTGGGGTGGGAACAAAGGGACCACCATCATTTATGGTGCCCTTCTGTGCGCCTAGCCCCACACTAGGCACTTGAATGTGTTTTCTCATTCAGTGTTCAGATGTTCTCATTCTCATTCAAATGAGAATTAATTGAGCACCTACTGTATGCCAGGCTCTGTCCTGCAGGCTGGAGATGGAGTGGTGAGCAAAACAGACAAGGTCCCTGTTCTTACTGCTGGGAGGTCGGTACTATCGTCGGCTCCATTTTACGGATGAGGAAACTGAGGCTTGGTGGTTCCATGATTTGCCGCAGCGTCTGAGTGAACCCCAGCCTGTCCAACACTTAAGCCTCCCCTTTTCATGCTACCTCTCCTGGCCATTCTCCAGGAGACCCCACACTGCCCTGGCCTTGGCTCTGCTCAGTGTCCAGGGCTCTGGCCGCCATTCTGGACCTGAGCCCAGGCTCTAGGCCCCCGTCACTATACTGCCGTCAGGGGCCCTGCCTCAGCCATTTCCTCCCATTCCTCCCAGCCAGGCTTAGCCACACAACGATAGTTCAGCAGTGACTCCTCCCAGGCACAGTGCTGACCGGTGACCTTTCATGTTCCACACCACCTTTGCCCTCACAGCCACTCTGTTGGGGCAGGCAGGCGAGGAACGGAGGCTCCGCGAGCGTCTCTGACGTGCCCAGGGTGGCACAAACATGACCAGGCAGTCCAAGAGGCCCTGGTCCCCTGCCCTGGCTCCCTAGGGAGACAGCCAGCCGAGGGCAACATTCCCTGGCCACGCTGCCCTACACCCCCACCCGTTCCCAGGGAAGACCGAGGGAGGCCCTGTCCCCTTCCAACAGGCTGACCAACAGGGACACCTTTCTTCTCACTTCTGGGCCAACAGCCACAGCCCCGGAGGCAGAGCCCGGACCTGCCTGGTGACCGTGGGGCTGTGCCCACCTTCCCTGCCTCCGCCCCTCACCCGCTCCTCCTGCCCTTGCCTGCAGCATCACATCCCTGGAGCAGAGGTGGCAGCTGGGCCCTGACAGGCAGCCTTAGCTGGCAGCTGCCACCCCCTCTCCCTGGCCTCACTCACTCTCCTTGAGGAAACCGGGTGCACCCTGGAATGAAGAGCAGGAACAAGAGGAAAAATAAACAGAGAAAGCAGGAAGGGACAGGCTTACAAATCCCCAGATTTGATGCCAAGAGGCTGAGAAGTGCAGAAGGTTATGGAAAGGGGCCCCCGAGGGGAAATTCATCTCTCTCTTGGAGGGGTCACCGGAGTCTAGCCATCTCTTCCTCAGTAGCTCCATGCTACCCCCTGGTGGTTCCAGTGCCAACTGCAGGACCAGGATCCGAATGTCCGAGGGGAGGTGAGTGGGTGGCAGGCAGCCCACACTTCCCACTCTCCTGATTCTCCCCTGGCCTCTGTTTCCCCAGGCCGGTGTCGCAGATAACGAAGCCAGAAAGGTAAGTGGCCTGGCTGGGGCTCCAGGCTGTTCTTGGGCCTGCCAGCCCCTGTCCCAGCATGCTAAGCTCCCAGCCACTCTGTCCTGATGCTTTTGGCTTATTGCAGGAGGAGACCCAAGGGCAGTGGGAAGAGGAAGAAAGAGAAGCAGAGACCCACAGACTGACGCCTGTGAGTGTGCTGGGGGGCCCAGGGATGACAAGGAGGCTGAGCCAGAGGGGAGCCCCCACCAGCAGGGGTTAATGCTGGGGGAAGGGGAAAGCAAGGACCAGAGCAGCCTTAGGGGCCAGACCAGGGAGATGCATTTTTAGAGATGCTAGGGCCCGGGAAGCCGCAGGGGCCTTGGATCTTGTCCTGGCTTAGCACGAGTCTCTGTATGGCTTGAGCAAGTCATGTCAGCTCTCTGAGCCTAGTGCAGTGGTCGGCAAACTGCGGCTCGTGAGCCACATGCGGCTCTTTGGCCCCTCGAGTGTGGCTCTTCCACAAAATACCGACTTCTGCGCATGGGCCACGAAGTTTCAATCGCACTGTCCGTGCGCGCCCGCACGTGGTATTTTGTGGAAGAGCCACACAAAGGGGCCAAAGAGCCGCATGTGGCTTGCCAGCCGCAGTTTGCCGACCACTGGCCTAGTGTTTCTTTCTGTGTAAAATGAGGAGTCAGGGCCCACCTAGCATTTAGCCATTCTAGAAATACTTTTTAAATACTTGACTGTCTGCTGGGTATACCAGCAAACAAGCCAACAAGATTCTTGCCTTCCAGTGATGAAAAGTCCAATAGCTGAAAACGGTCGGGGCTATTTCCTAGAGGCCTTGGGGAGGAGCAACCGCTCACTGGCTCTCACACCCTGTATTTCTATCCCCCCTCCAGGGGGCTCCGCGGGCCACTCGCTTCTATTTCCCTCCCAATGTTACCTGTCCCTCTTGGCTTCACACCTGGAGGCCCAGGGTGGAGTCCAGGCCTGAGTGTAGTCCAGGCCAGAGAAGGATCAGAGAAGGGAAAACCCAAATATGTGAGTAAATAGTAAAAACAAAATATTTCACCTCTACAGTAACTTAGTCACCTGACAGGTCCTTTCGGCGCCAAGACTCCAGGAAATCATTTTGGGCTGTGGGCCTGGAGCTGACCCCGGAGGCTTCTGCCCCACTCCGTGAAGGCAGGGGTTCTAGGGAAGCCGGTCTCCCCAGGCGTGGGGCCCTCCTTTCTCCCTGGGCCCAGGCAGCCGCTCAGGGAAGGAGTTGGCAGTGCAGGCAATGCAGGGCTCCCCACAGCCAGGCAGGCCCAGCAGGCCCTATGGCTCCACCGACCAGGGCAGCGGTCTTCAGACGTCTCCCAGGGAATCTCCTGACGGAAATTCAAAACCACGTGCTCTCTTGCTCACGTTTAAGTTAACACTGAACTTTTCCATCAACGTTGTAAATAGTTGCAAAGATATCATTTCCGGCATGTTATAAATATTAATGTTTTAATATAAAGCCACTAGTTAACTCTTCAGATGGAATGCCTATGGGATAGGGCATTTTAATTTTTTTTTTATTTTATTTTAAATATATTTTATTGACTTTTTACAGAAAGGAAGGGAGAGAGATAGAGAGTTAGAAACATCGATGAGAGATGAGAGAGAAACATCGATCAGTTGCCTCCTGCACATCCCCCAATGGGGAAGTGCCCGCAACCCAGGTACATGCCCTTGACCGGAATCGAACCTGGGACCCTTCAGGCCGATGCTCTATCCGCTGAGCCAAACCGGCTTTGGCTTAATTTTTAAAAAATATATTTTTATTGATTTCAGAGAGGAAGGGAGAGGGCGAGATAGAAACATCAATGATGAGAGAGAATCATTGATTGGCTGCCTCCTGCACACCCTACACTGGGGATGGAGCCTGCAACCCAGGCATGTGCCTTGACCTGGAATCGAACTGCGACCTCCTGGTTCATAGGTCGAAGCTCAATCACTGAGCACGCTGGCCCGGCAGGGCATTTTAATTTAACACCATCATCCACTTTATTTATTTATTTTTTATAATTTATTGTTTTATTGCTTAAAGTATTACAAAGGGTATTACATATGTGTCCTTCCCGCCCCCCCCCCGCCCCCCCGCCCTTGACAGTCCCCTGGCCTCCCCCACCCCCCAGTGTCTTATGTCCATTGGTTATGCTTATATGCATGCATACAAGTCCTTTGGTTGATCTCTTTCCCCCCTCCCTCCTGCCCCCCAACCCTCCCCGGCTTTCCCGCTGCAGTTTGACAATCTGTTTGAGGCAGCTCTGCCTCTGTATCTATTATTGTTCAAAAGTTTAAATGGTCTCTATTATCCATGAATGAGTGAGATCATGTGGTATTTTTCCTTCATTGACTGGCTTATTTCACTTAGCATAATGCTCTCCAGTTCCATCCATGCCATTGCAAATGGTAAGAGTTCCTTCTTTTTTACAGCAGCGTAGTATTCCATCGTGTAGATGTACCATAGTTTTCTAATCCATTCATCTACAGATGGGCACTTAGGCTGTTTCCAGATCTTAGCTATGGTGAATTGTGCTGCTATGAACATAGGGGTGCATATATCCTTTCTGATTGGTGTTTCTGGTTTCTTGGGATATATTCCTAGAAGTGGGATCACAGGGTCAAATGGGAGTTCCATTTTCAGTTTTTTGAGAAAACTCCATACTGTCTTCCACAGTGGCTGCACCAGTCTGCATTCCCACCAGCAGTGCACAAGTGTTCCTTTTTCCTCACATCCTCTCCAGCACTGGTCGCTTGTTGAGTTGTTGATGATAGCCAGTCTGACAGGTGTGAGATGGTACCTCATTGTTGTTTTGATTTGCATCTCTCGGATGATTAGTGACTTTGAGCATGTTTTCATATGTCTCTTGGCTTTCTGAATGTCCTCTTTTGAAAGGTGTCTATTTTAAAAAGAAATGAATAATAGCAACAAAAAATATAAATGTGAACATTCTCCTCTAACAGTGGTTGCATATTTGCATTGCTTCTTTTTTCCTTGAACTTCTGTTTCCATTTCATTTCCCCCACAAAATTTCAGCCTAATGTAATTGTTTTAATGCTGAAGTCTTTTATATATCACCTTGCCATGTGTATCTGCTACAACAATGGCATATAAGTTTGAATTATTTTATTTTCCTGTAAACATAAACTCTAAATTAAATTTTCTCCTGGAATGGATTATCACAATAATTATCTGTAGTACCAATTGATCAAAACAGCACAAATACATTATATTTTAATAAGTGTTCAATATAAAAGTACAATCAGGCCCATATGGCTTGGTTGGGCATCGTCCTGTGCACCGAAAGGTTGCTGGTTCCATTCCTGGTCAGGACACATGCCTAGGTTGCAGGCTCGATCCCCATAAGGGGTGAGCAGGAGGTAACCGATGGATGCTTCACTCTCACATCAACGTTTCTCGCTTTCTCCCTCTCTCTTCCTCTTTCTCTCAAAATCAATTTTAAAAAATCTTTTTTAAAAAAATACCATCAATCTCATTAAGGGTGCATCTCAATGAGATGGATTAATTAACTCGTTAATGAACGTTACCTCCTGCAGACTGAGACAGGATTCGGCATTAATTCCATTCCTGATCACCAGTTTTGTAGATGAAAAGGGTGAGAAACCATGCTCACATAAACAAGTAGATGGGACTCAATGTCACTTAATTACTTGAACTTGTCGCCATAAGAACCATCCAAACCTGTAGAGAAATTTTAAAAGTTTAATTGAATCAAACTGACAATTGCCAGGAAGCAAAATTTTAATGGATCGAGAAAATGCTCTGCAGCGTATTTTTATACATCAGAATCAAAGGAGACAAAAGAAGGGTCACATGAAATTCACTGGTGCTCCGTAGATGAGGGGGGCAGGCGAAAGCAAAGCGGGAAAATCTCTGGGATTGGGTAGAAAGTAAAATGGATAGGCACATACTTCTTTTGCGTGGGAGGGCACCGGATAGGAAATGAGTAACATTTACAGCACATGGAGAAGGGATTCCGGCAACAAGATACCATGAGGGCTTCTGTGGTCTCCTGATCCGGTGGGAAGTTGCTCCCCGAGGGGCCTGGAAAAAAAGATTACTCTGACATTTCAAAGGTATGTTATCTTAGACGCAGAAAGACTTTAGGCTCATTGAGGAAATGGTTGAACTTTGCCAAAGGAGCTACAGGCCTAGGACATGACTTCCTGCCATAACTCGCTTTCAGTTAGGAAGTTTTATGTTCGGACTACCCTGTGTGGTTACTGTTAGCCTCTGAGTTCCTAGGGCCCCCGAGCTGACCTCCCCTGAGCTTGTCAGACTTCGTATGTGACCCCCTTGTCATCCACAAACTCTTTCCCAAAAACATCAAGGTGATCTGCGAACAAAAATGACTTCTCATGACATGTACACTGACCATTCGGTTGAGTTGTTCTTTAATTTGTTGAAAGCAAAGACTTGGAAACCACCTGACTGGCAAAAGGCTGGGTTACCCAGTTGTTTGCCATGTTTCCTTCCTCAGCACCTACACCTTGAGTTCTTTGTTCAGTGTCTCCTGGATACTGTTGCCTTGGGCCACAGTATTGTCAGGGCTTTGGAATGGGCAGGATGCTGCCAGGTAGGAAGGTAATTGTGGCGAATTCTCAGGATGATGGGGAAGCAGACCTCTCAGGCGGGCACTTTTCAGGTGGAGAACTGAAAATAGATTCTTTTAAAGCCATCAACACTCATATAGGTCTTGGACAATTTTCATGTACCTCTCGGGACACCTGCACCCTCGTCTGAAGACTGCTGCCCTAGAGTAATCAGAAGTATTAGTGTATGGAGCCAGACTGGGTTCATGTCACTGACTAGCTGTGTGACCTTGGGCAAGTTTCCTAACCTCTCTGAGCCTCCGTTTTCTCATCTGCAAAAGGATGATAATAACAGTGCCTTCCCCATGAGATACCGTGAAGGGTAGATGAGAAGGTGCTTAGCGCAGGGCTGGCTGGGCACCTGGGGATGTGCTTGGTGAAGGGTAGCTCCCGGCTTCTCTTTGGTGCAAGCAGAGATCCAGGCATGCTGCAATCTCCCTGTGCTCCCTGCCCTGCTTCCCCTCTGGCTTTGTCCCCGCTCCCCGTAGCAGTGACCGCACCCTCCACAGCGTGCTGACCCTGCTTTCTGTGTTTGGTCTCTGACAGGTGAGCTGATCCTTCTCCCCCAAGATAACCAGCCCCTCGGAGGAGAGAGACGCACACCCGGCTCCTGTATTTATTATCGTCACACTCTCAGTTACCTCCTTGCTGGCACCTGCCCTCTATTTATTAGCCAATTGCATCCCTGCTGAATGACTCCTCCCTCCAAGATGAGGGGCCTGGAGGGACAGGACCCTCAGGAATTCAGTGCCTTAAGCAGAACGTGAGAGAAAGAAGACAGCCATGGCCCGTGTGTGCTTCAGCTTGGGAAGAAGCAAGACGTGACTTTGTGAGGGGCAAGCCGGGCTCCAGAGGCCTGAGGGGCCCCCAAGGGGCTGGAGAAGGAAGAAGAGGAAAAACCCACCGCCTGTCCCTGGGACTTGGGCTCTACACGGACAAGCAGGCCATGACCCAGGCTGCGTGGGAAGGCAGGCAGGGGGTGAGGGGCCCTGTGGCTTCCTCCTCCCCCTGGCAGCGGCTGACCCTGGAGAGCGGAACACTCAGCTCTGGAGAACATCGGTCGCCCGGGGCCTTGGCCACTCCTCGTCCCCTACGGTTTCTCCTCACATCTCGCCACAGCTTGTACTGGGACATGGTTCTTTGTGGCCAAGGAAGGCTTCGCCATCCTGCCCCTCTCAGGGACACAGGCAACGAGGGGGCCCAGGCTGGGCATGGAGCACGCTGCCTGCATGGCTGTCTGGCTGCCGAGCCAGATTCTCTTGAATAAAGTTATTCTAGTCTGGAAACCTCTGCTCCAGGGAGTGTCTGCCGGAGCAGCGAGCAGCAGAAAGTGGAAGCAGGACAGAAAAAGGATCGTGGGCCCACGGCTGCCCCTGGTTGGCATCAGCCTCCTGCAGCTTCCTGGGGTGCCATCTCCCCAACTGCTTGCAGCGGGAACCCTGAGGTCCGTTCTTCCTATAAAGAGGGATTCCCAATATTTAGTCCTGGCCCCAAAGTTGAGGGAACGTGGCCCCAGTATCCCATGAACACCCTCTAATGCAAGAGCACAGTCCCCTCCTCCTCTCCCTCCCCCAGGGCCACCCCATACCAGGCCCAGTGCCTGGCCCCCCGGACCCTGAGTGAATGGGGGTTCCTCAGGTCCTGGCCCCCCATCTCCAGCCTGCTCAGGCTACCGAGTGCAGGGGTCTGCAGATGCTGTCCGATTTCCACTCCCTTCACCTCCCATCTTCCTCTGCCTTCCTCCTGAAGGCCTTGGCATGAAAGGACTAAAAGTGCTTTTTAAATTTTTTTCAGTCCAAACCACACACTGTCAGACCCCCATCTACCTCTGGTCCGAAAGGGATGTGGTTTTATTGTTGCCTGTACTGTGGGAAGGGGAGTTCCCCGCTCACTGCAGGCTGCTCAGGACAAACCCGCAGGGGCCCAGGGGCAGGCTCGCCTGGGGCTTTGGAGGGAAGCCCTGGACAGTCCAGTGGGTGGGGTGGGTTGGCCCTGCTGAGGCAGCTGGCCTTGGCAGTCTGTTCGCCGAGGCTGGGCCCCTTGGAGGACACTCTGGTCAGAATGTGCTCTGGCTGGTGATCACAGAAGGGGTGTGGGCCAGCCCCAGGGCAAATGCTTTGCAGAAGAACTGCACTTTCTCTCCTGCTTCTCTCCCCTTGGGCTGAGGCCATGCTGAGCCATTGCCTTTGATGGACTAAGAGCTGAGAGTAGCACCCCTTCCCCTCGGCCAGGCCTTGGATTGGCCCCGAGGACCCCAGTAGCATCTCCAAGGCTCTCAGCTTCCCAAACCACCCACATGGAGGTCAGTCTTCCGACACAGGCCATAGATCCCTGTAGAGAACTAGACAGAGACAGGGGGAGCTCTTTGAGGCCAGAAGCAAAAATCCGCCCTCACGGCCAAGAGCAGTGGGGATGAGTAGGAAAGGAACTGACTGGCCCATTTGGCCATCTGGGCAGTCCTTTCTGATCAGTTAGGTCCTGAAGGGCCCTTTTCATTTGTTCATTATATATTTGTGGAGCACCACCTGTGCACCTGCCACTGTCCCAGGCACCACGGACTCAGTGGGGAATAAGGCACACAAGGATCTGCTCTCCTGTATTTGAGTGGAGAGACCGACCATAATCGTGTGTTACGGGATATTGGGTGGACTTTATTGTTGCTCAAACTGGTGGCTGGCCCTAGAACTAAGGAAAAAGGAGCCTTGATCCCCCACACTCTAAAACAAAGAGGAAACAATTTGGGGCTGGACACACCTGCCTACAGGATTTATTAAGAGGTGGCTGAAGTAGTTCTGCTAGGCCCAAACATCACCCAGCACCTCCTTGAGCACCCCCTTCTCCATAAGCAGAAGACCAGGAAAGGAGAGGGCTGTGAGGTCGCTGGAGACCTGGGTTGCTGGTCCCTCCTCCTCCTCTCCCTGGAGCTGGATTTGCCCAGGTTCCTATCTGGATAGGAACTGGGGGGAATGGAGAACTGAAGAGTGACAGGGGACAGAGAGAGGGGACACCTTGGGGCATCCAGCAGGAATTTCCCACAGGTCAGGGGGACATGGTGAAAGTGAATGGCCAGGGGCATCCTTGCCCATGTTCTCCCAAGAGGGAGACCTGCAGGTGAGGAGACCCTGCAGGCTGTGGGTATAGGGTTGGGGCAATTGCTGAATGGGACGTATCAGATATAGAGCTGGAAAAGAAACACCTCAGGGAACAGTGCTCCAGGGTATCCCTGTGCTGCACCAACAAGACAGTTGGCACCTGTCATGGGAGGCGTAGTCATAGCCAGAGAAGAAATGGCCCCAGCTAAGGGGGACTTTACCCCAATTTCTCCTTCCTGGCCCATGTGAAAGAAAGAGAGGGGAATGGGGAGGCGTACAGGGACAGACCATGCCCTGCCCAGCTACCTTGAGCCAAATCCAGACCCTGTCTTAGGGAAAGAAAGGTGTTATACTTACATTGGGTAGACCAGCCTAGATGGGGCTGGGCCTTTAATAAATTAAATGACAGGAACATTAGAAGATCTGCCCAAAATGCTATTAAGAGACAAGAAAAGGAGAACCAACATAATTCATCTAGAAGCAATAATGAGAGAGAGAGAGAGAGAGAGAGAGAGAGAGAGAGAGAGAGAGAGAGAGAGAGAACAACTGGGTTGTTTGTGCTTTCACCGTTTGCTCAATAAGCAAGTTACACATGTAAACAAAGAAACTAATACTTCATTGCCAAAATGGTTCTGGCACATTAGATATGACCTTGACTTCTTTGACATTTCTCCCCTGAGAGGGAAGGTCTGTTCCCTCTCTTTGAATCTGAGTTGACCTGGGTCTGCATTGATCATATTGTATGGCAGAAGAGACCCTATGAGAGCTCCAAATCCTTTCAAGAGAACTGGAAGCTTCTGCCTTGGTCTCTTGGAACCCTGAGCTGCCACGTAAGAAGTTCAACTATCATGAAGTCACCATGTTGGAAGGAAGCCCAAGCTAGTTGTAGAGCGGTGTGTGGGGAGAGAGAGAGAGAGAGAGAGAGAGAGAGATGCTCAGCTGGCCTCCAGTTGTCCCAGGCTCCCAGCCTTTACAGTCATCTCAGCAGAAGTCCCAGGTCTCCTGGAACAGGACAAGCTGTGCCCTGTTTGATTTCCTAACCTGTAGAATCATGAGATCTAATAACAAATTGTTATGCAGCAACAGGAGCTGAGTGGAAAATAAGGAAAGGTGACCAGATAGTGTTTGGGGGGAGGTACGCTGGACCAGGAGGTCAGGGAAGAGCTCTCTGTGGAGGTGATGTTTATGGTGAAATTTGAAAGATAGGAAGGAGTTCACTCCAAACAGAAGACACCACTGATGCAAAAGCCTTAGAAGGGATCCCAGTATGGCTGGGCAAGGGAGGAAGGGACATGAGATGTGGCTGATGTTTGAGGTGGGTAAGGGCCAGATCATGCAGGGGTTTGCCAGGTTAGGAGTTTGAACTTTGTTATCATGTGGAAGGAAACCACTGGAGGGTTTCAAGCAGGGGAGTGAAGTGACAGCACACATATTTTTGGAAGATCACTCTGCCTTCTGTGTGGAGAATGGATCTTAGGGGCACAAGACTAGAGGAACCAATACCACTTACAAGGCTGTAGCAGATCCAGGCAACCAATTAGAATGGCTTGGTTTAGGAAGAAGTAATGGAGATGGAGAGAGAGAGAGAGTTTGTTCTTAATGGGCCATGTGGCCTGGTTACCCTGATCATTCATTCATTCTTGAGCATTTTTTGAGTCTATTAGAAGCAAACAAATTGTAGTAGATGCATGAGTGAGGGGGCAAAATATATCAGCATATGAAAGTGTCCCCAATTTCCCACTTAGTAAGGAAAATCTCATTCTGCAAGAAATAAGGAGAACAGGAGAGAAGGCTTAGCTGAAGGTAGATCATCTTACGTTGATCTACCTAAGAACACACAGAGACAAGGCAAGATGGAAAAGGGAAAGAAAAGACCTCACAGCTTGGTCTAGAGAAAGAGCTTGGGTTTTGTTGATTTAAAAGCTTCTGGTGATTTAAGGCAATTTGAGGAGAGAGGGAAGGGTTTGTGAAAGTGCTGCTACCCTTCCCTCATGATGAAGTTCCTGACGTTCTTGAGAGATGCTCACTCAATAAGGCAGAGACCCAGCCCAGTGGAACACCTGGATGAGCCAGGGAGACACAAGAAGACATTTTCTCTGATCTTCCAAAGCTGGTCGAAGGATCCTGATAAGCACAGATGATTATAAAAGAAGGAAAGAAGGCCACATGGCTTAAGCAGATGAAGTGCCACTAAAGAAATCTAAGATACCTGAGGTGACTTACACATGGGGGAATCAGGAAAATCAAGGCTGGCTTCACAAAGTCTGCAGCATTTGAACTGTGACTCCAGGAATTAGGCAAGATCGAGTGTGGGGAGATAGATGGAGAAGGCGTTCTAGGCGCAGGCACCACATGAACAAAGACCCAGAGGTGGAAAACCCATAGCTGTACGGAGATTTTCGAACGGTTCTGTTTTGATGCTTAAGGTGAGTGAAGCAGATGAGTGCTAGGCAGGCTGGGAGGGAGGCCGGGCCCTGGGTGCCACCCTAGGTTGTTAGGGCTTTGCTAGGCAGTGGGAGGCACTGACATTTTTTTAAGCAGGAAAATGTTTTAAGCAGGAGAGTGACATGATCTTGGGATTTAAGGCTGAGAGCAGATTTACAAATAAGCTATTTCCACCTCCTTATTTTACAAGTGAAGAAGCTGAGGCCCCGGCGCACCCAAAGCCTGAACGTTAAGTGAGGCAGAATTTTAAAATTTACCAGTAAGTGGCTGAAATGGAATTGAACCCAGATTTGCCTCCAAATCTGCCCCTCACCACATTCCGCCCCCCCCCCCCCCCGCTCCCCGCCCACCCCACCCCCACCCCCGCCCCCCAGATGAAGAGCAGAGCAGAGCAGGGGAGGAGGGAGGACCCTGTTGGCTCCAAGCCCTAGAAGCAGGCCAGACGTCTGCGAGGTGGGTGGACAGAAGCGGCCCCTCCACAAACTCTGGTGGGAACTCAAGGCTCCAGACAGGGCGGTGACAGAGCCTTGGTGTGAAAAGGTGGCTGTCTGTCAGCACCGGAGCCCAGCAGCTATTTTCCTAGAGAAAGCGGACCCGTCCCTGTCCTGAGGGAAGCCGGGAGAGCTCCCCTGCCCCTGACATTGGCTGTGACGGAGGCCCAGGAAGGCCTGGCTCCCACTAGCTGTCTGTGGGCCCCACCTCAGAGGCCACGGGGCTCCAAGCCAAAAGCATGGTGTGTGTCCAGCCCC